AGCAGGAATAGAAATGACTCCAAGCATGAGTCTCCAACTGGGTGAATCCGCCAAGGACATTGAGAACACCATGATGTATGCCAAGAACATTCCACCAGAACAAGCAAACTGAGTAAGAGTGTTCAATTGGCCTCTGATATCAGCCGGTGCTACCTCAGATATGTAGAGAGGGGTAAGAGTAACGGCAAGAGCAATGGCAACCCCATCCACTATCCTCGCTAGCAGAACAACAATAACATTAGGAGTCCACAACATTATCAGACCGCTAAGGAAAAACATGACAGAAGATGTTATCAGCATAGGGCGTCTTCCAACCAAATCACACACTGTTCCAGAGAATATTGTCACAACAGTACCGGTTATAAACGACATGGACACTATTAGCCCTTCAAGTGTCGCATCCAAGTCGAATTCCTCCTTGATGTAGGTCATACCCGCTGCAAAAGGGTAGCAACATGTTTGTTCAGTTTCATTAACCAGTTCTAACACACCCTTTTGCAATTCCCATTCTATTAGAGAATTGGGGCAAGCAGCATCTCAGCTTCATGTCCCAATCCCAAATCATAAACACAGAATCATGATCATATCATACATGACCTTGAGATATATTTTCACACACAACATAATTAAATAAATAAATAAAAGTAGGAATGGATAAAAAAAAATACTAACCTGCAATGGTTGAACTATCCCAACCCATCAGAAGATTCCCAAGTGTTGCAGCAACCGCAACAATCACAACCTCCATCATTTTTTCTTGTCTGAGAAAAAAGAGAAAAAGGCCAAAATCCAAAGTGTATGAGCAGTTGAACTCAAATTGAAAGCTTTGTAACCCTTTTCAGATCTTCATATGTAACGTGAAAATTGAGAGTTGATGGGTACTACTGAGTGCTCCCTAGAAAAATGGTAGTGTTGTCCAGAGAATGGGACTACACACGTAGGATAGTGTGTTCGAGATGAGTACGGTTAGCATCAGTATGTCGGGAAAGCTTGTTTACTTCTTATTATATCAAAATAAAATCCTAAGTGTATCTAATTCAGGCTTAGCTGTACGAGGGATTTTTTTTAAATTATTATTTATCATCACATAAAACATCAACAATTAGTTAATCAAAAAGTCAAAGGAATGATGCCAGGCTAACCCAATTTTTATAATCACAAGCACATGAAATTGAATTGCTTCACTCAGGAGTCGCCACGGTTGCATCTTCCATCACGGTCATTACCATTTTAATTAATTAATATTAATATTGGTATGTGGGAGAATATATTAAGCAAGTTTGATTTTTTTGTTAAAACAAGATTGCTGGAGAATATATTTATTTTAATTTATTAAAATTTGAAAATATTATTATTGGTATGTGGGAGAATGTATTACACAAGCTTGATTTCTTTTTAAAAACAAAGTTCATCGGAGAATATATCTAGATGTATTAAATATGAGAACTTAAATTTAATCTTTGTTACGATCATTTTTATAATTTTTTTATTTTTATAAAAAAATATCTATTCAAATTTGGAAATAATGTTATTGTTAATAAAATTTACTTGATACATTTTTCCTTTTTGGTAGGAAATAAGAGTTGATCTTTTTTTTTTTTTTTCTATTTGAATGATTTGAATGGCAAACATTGCTCCTCCCACGTCTTAGTATTGACCGATCAATCGATGATTTGATGAGTTGGTTAAAATTATTAGATGGCCAGCAAATAAAACGATTTGATTAGGATTTTTTAAAAGAAAAAACGACAGCTAAAAAATAGAAGATATTTTATTACATGATGGAAAGTTCAAAATTGAAGGATCCTCAAACCCTAATCTTATCCAACCACGTGTTTCACAATCACATAAAAATCAGCGAGTGCTTTTCGTATAGAAATTTCAATTTTTTCAAATTGAAGTAAAAAAATAATAATAATAAATATATATATATATATATATATATATATATATATATATAGAAGTACTTTAATCATCGATACCATTTCAAATTAAAGGTATATTTTATGAAAGATATTTGCTAATGACTATGTAAATATGAATGCCCACGGTAACAATATTGAAAATCTTGGCATATCAAGATTTGGAAACTTCATTAGAAATTTATGTGATAATTGATTCTTGAATTTTTTTTTATAATTTTAGGAATAGTTTCAGATGTTAGTTTATGGAAAACTAATTCTTGAATTACATAATTTCATCCAATAAGGTTATCATTCTAGACATACATACATAGTTCTCATTAATAGAATCAAATATGTTAGTGGACATCTTTAAAAAGTTTCATTTCATTACATCTTAAGAAAAAATAAATAAATACTTATTATAGATCAATTGATTAAATAATATTTTTCTTGTTCATATCTTTTTGTAATATGATAGACTTTTATTTAAAGTTAAATTTTATTACTTTGACTGATATTATCGAGGTAATTTTTCTTATACCTTAATTTATCTCGTACTTTTATACGGATATGGATTTTCCAATCTCCATTTGGCACTTGAGCATTTGGTAAACTAATTTTATTTAGTATTTTTTTCATTAAACTTCACACCTATCATAAATTCACAATTAAGGTGAAAATTTATCAAAATTTGTTAATTTGAGTAGTTTGACTAAGAATAAATTTTGTACTTTATATGAGTATTGGTCCATAAATATAAGAATAAAATAAAAATAATTAATTGAGATTTCCAATTTAATTGATGAAAAATATTTTAATTAAAATAATTAAAATTTTAATTAAAATACAAAAAATAAGAAATACAATCTATTTAATATCAATTATAGATATATTTTTTGTTTGTATTTAATGCTAACTAAAAGTAGTTTTTTATGCATTGCTAATTAAAAGTATTTAAATATTGATAAGACAAATAAAGGCGGAAAAATCTCATTTACTTGAATGATTAATTAAGAAAAATATATTAATTAGATTAAATTGAATGTTAGATATCAAAATAGATGTTTTTATTTATATATAAAATGTGTTTAGTAAAATTAGTTTATTAGTTGGTTGGAAGCTTAGCTATAAAATTAAGAATTAAAAAGTAAAAAAATTATAAATTAACTGATTAAATTAAAAATACTTGGTAAAATGGCATATGTTTGTGTGAAATGACATGTTTATTTATTTGATAATGAGTGTAGGAGAACAACACAAAATAATTTATAAATTAAAAATGATAATAAAAGGTTTTAAGTAAAATAATGAGAATAAAAAAGTAAAAAAAAATGTTTATAAGCTAACTCAAAGCCACTTTAATTAGCTTGTAAAAATAAATTTATGAATTAAATAAGTTTATTTTGGTTAAACTAATTTATAAATTAGTAAAAAGACTTATAAACTCATTAAATATAATGTGAAATATACTCATAATACAATAATAAAATTTAAATCTTAAATTAGTAGACTCTTCGTCACTAAATTAATCCTAGTATAAAGAAAAAGACATGTGCTTTTGTATAAGAATGAAAATATGATATAACTTTGTGAAATAAATGTTACCATATAGAAAATTCTATAAGAGTGAATTGTGTAAATATAATAAAATATTATAATAGTTAATCATCCATATATTGCCAATATAAAATTTTTTAGACTGACAATCAATCATATCCTTTAAATTATTTTATTTTATTTCTATTTTATTAAATAAATAACTGACATGACATTATTAAAAGATATGATTAATTATCAATATAAAAAAACTTTACACTAACAATATATAAAAATTTTACACTGACAATATATAAGTAATTAACTGATATTATAAACCCAATCATAACTCTATTTTTGCACGTAGATGAAAACTCAAACCAAACATACACCTAATTAAAGGAAGTTTTTAATGTAAAGAGTTAGAAAATGACATGTAATTATGACTTTCGCTGCAAATTTAATTGTCATGTAGTCGGTAAAATATTGGAATAAAATATAAATACACAGTGTAGTTATTTTATGTTTTAATTACATATTTTTAAATTAATTTCGAATGAAATTAATTTTGAAGTAACATAATTAATGTGTATTTTTTTTTATAAAAAATTTTCAATGATAGATGATAAAATTTGAATTCAAAATTTTATGTATTGTATTCTAATTATTTATTATTAGACTGACCTTAATACGTTATTTTATTTTTTATTAGTTAAATTGGTCCGATTAATTTACAAGTTTCTCCAAATATTTGCAAACATATTTAATGTACCTTATGCATGAAAATAAGTTAACTTACAAGTTACTAGTATTTTAGCATGTATAATGCATAAGTTAAATATTTATTATATATAATTAAATTTTAAAATAAATTTTATATATAAAATAATATTATATTTAAATATATGAATTATATTTAAAA